AAAGACTGTGATCTTCTTCCATTAAAATTATAGCCGAGAAAACCCTTTGGAGCAGTTCTGCTCTGTAACACGTGGTCACCGTGAGTTGGCATGGACTCAATGGCAGCCAACAACGACATCAACTCTGAATCTACCAACATGTCTTCTCTGCAAATGAGATATTTTGTGTTCATTTTCTATTTGTTTACTATCTATCTATCTGCCTGTCTATCTATCTATCAGTCTGTCTGTCTTTTACCTCCTTTGGGTAGGAACTAATTGTAGCAGCATACACATTCTCCATTTGTAACAGAATGTAATATCCCTATGCAACACTATTAAACAGCATTCTTTATCAAAGTAGCTGAGGGGTGCAGCTGCCTAATCACTTCATGCACAAAATCTTAGGGGCTACACAGGTATGCCCTTCGCATTTTGTTCTCTTTCATATTAGTGGGTACGTCAATTCATTGTTGAAAGTAACTACATTTTGGATTATGGTATGATGTCTTTTTTCTGTGTACTCCTTCCCTCAGAAGTGAATAAAATGTGAATAAAAATGCTAGAATTTTTTATTAGCAGACTGGAATAAATATTTCTTTTATTCTTTCTGTGGGATAAAGATGTTCCATTTAGTCAATGGATTTCACTCAGTCAAAATAGAAAAAAGGACTTTCATAAAAAGTGATTATGGGGAAAGAAGATACTAAAGTTAAATTAAAAAAAAATGCTGTTCTTATACGTTTAGTTCTCATCTCTGTACCACATTCCTAATCAAATGGATTACATGCTGAGTTATTAACTCTTGCAACTTCCTCCAGTGGAAGAGTAACTGACTGACTTTTATGCAGGAGTTTACAAGAAGGAGGAAGCCCACTTACTTCTGAAAGCTATTCAGATTAAAGGTCCGGTGGATATTTTCGTAAGCAAGTTTGAAAATGACAACTGGGGATTAGATGGTTACGTAAGTATTCCTTTGATTTGTAGCAGTGTTTTCTAATCCTTACTCTGCTTTCATGGAAGCAGCTAACTGAAGATTTCTAAGAGGAGCTTCAGTGTGTGTGGCCCTGGAAAACTAAGCAATCCTGCTTAATAACACAGGCATTCTGCCCTTGCTTTTATATTAGAAGAAACCAAGTCACTGAAAAGATCAGCTGGCTAGTAAGACTTGAGTTCCTGCTGCTGGGGAGAGAACTAGATCTCGAGTCCTGGTTCTGTGCTGGTTAACACCACCTTCTTCTACTGTGAGTGCGGTGCAAGCGAGATTCTTCTGAGACCCTCTGATTAGCAAGAACCATTCTGAAGTCATTTTTAGAATGGTGACAAAGTCATTCCTAGATAAACAGAAAGATTTAGGATTTTCTCCTTCATATTCTTCTTTGCAAGTTAATCATTTCTCTAGGTTTTACATTCCTGTCTGATCTGAGAGCGTACGGTCTCAAGTGGTATACACCCGGCCAGTAGCTGTTACACAAGATGAGTTTTACCTAATGTAGGTTACTTAGTAATTCATTTGTGTGTCCCTCCTTTATGAAGGCTAGGTAACATACGGAAGCAATGTTGTTAAATCTACTACCATTCTAGAGACCAAAATGAGACAGTGAGCACTTTTATGTCCCTTGACTTAACTTCTGTAATGTTTTCCAGTTTTCAGCCGTAAGTATGTAACTGAAAGAAGTGGCCTAAAAAATGAAATATTTAACCTTTAATATCTAAACATGGGAAATGACAGTAATATTTTGATCAGCAGAGATTATTATTGATCTTCTTGTACATATTTTTTCATTAATTTTCATACCTATCAGGTATCATCGGGACTTGAAAGAGGAGGATTTACTTTTCAAGGTGATGTACATGGAAAAGACTTTGGAAAATTCAAACTAGAAAGACAAGGTAAACTGCATTTAAGGTATTTTTTAAAACAAATACCAGTTTGGGTTTCAAATGATTGTGTTGAAAAGTAATGGATATATCTCTACTCCAAAAGGAACATAAACAAAAGTAATAGGAGTGACTAGTATATTTCACTCCTGAAAGAAAACAAGATATCCTTTCGAAAGAAAAATAGACTAACGGAAAACTGGGGAAAAATTGCAACACATTTGCCAGACATGGAATTATGATACTTAATATATAAGAGAAGTTGAAAACAAATATGACATTAATGAATGAGCTAACTACATTACCCTAAGAAATTTAGAAGTAAGAATAATCGGAAGTAGCCAATAACCTATGTAAAGATCTTCAATTTCAAAACAATCTACATTAATGAGAAGAAGGATATAGCATTTTTAATTATCAGAAAGTTAATTTGTTTTTAGTGTTGGTATTGAGTGGATAGCAGGAACAGGCAGCTGGGTGTTCAGTTTTGGTGGATGTATGAGTAAATCTGTACGATTAAGAAATATGTATCCTTACTTTAAGTGTGTAATCTTTCATCCAACAATTCTGTCTCTAGAATTCTGCATCAGACATGTGAAAACTTTTCTTTGCACATCTAGTTATGTCCAAGGCAAGACTCTTTTAATACTGGAAAGTAAAAATAACTCACCCATCTTACACATCTCTCATAGAGGAATTGCACCAGTAAATAATTTTATGCAATGTATTACGTTAATAGAATATAATATTGTACAGTATATTTTAGTAAAGGAATGAGGACTCTGTACTCACATGGAAAGATGTTAAATTTACATAAAATGAAAAAAATTTGTGATAGAGATACTCCATCCTTCTTTATATATTTCTCTACCGTTTTTTACCTTAATACTCACAGAAGGGAGATTAAAAAAAAAAAATCACTAGATATGAACCTACCTTTTCCACTTGCTAGCTTTGCAATCTTGGATGAATTACAATATTCTTCAGCCCATTTTCTCTTCTTCAAATTCATTATGGAAGTCACTTTCTTGGGTGTTATGAACATTAAGTAAGAGACAGTATAAGCCATAGATTTGTGCATGCTAAAGCTCATTTCACACACAAGTCTTTATTATAGTTGTTACTACCAATACAGATTAGGAAAATGCAGTTTTGTAATGAAATTAGTGCCACATTTCTTCTGAATAATACAAACTACTTCATAATTTACTTGTAGAAAACTATTAACACTTAATTTTATAAAGAAGAATATTACTAGAGAGACTTTGATTCCAAAGTGACCTTTCAGAGGAAAGTGTGCATAATATTTTCTGATGAACTTATCACTGATGAACTTATTTCATAAGACTTTTGTCAATATATTGAAGTATTTGAAGGGAAATGTATGCTAAATTTTATATTATTGTATATTTTCTAAAAGCCTTAATTGAAAAGGATAATTAATCATAATGTACTCTAATTCCACCTTTCTAAATTCAGTACTTTTAAATAAGAGAGCTTTAAATTATTATTTCAGCAACAGCTGACATAATATTTTAAATTGAGTTAGACTGTTTTGAAATAATAAAAAAATAGAATTAATGCACTAGACCAACACTAATGATGGGTTAACTTTCCTCTTGCTGAAAGCCAAACCCTGCAGGTATTTGTTCTCCTTTCTCCTCATAGCACATGCTCTAGTAATTTTGTCTAAGGACACCCCAGTGAGCTGTACAAGATACTGTATAGATGTCTAAGTTTACTCATCCAAAGAACCTGACCTGAACTATCATTTTGCTGTTACATATTTGATTAGCATTACCCCACGTCTTTTTAATCAAACAAAATAACAGCTTTGTTTGACAAGTAATCTTCATTCTCATGTGATGATGAGCTTATTGTCAGGAAAAACAATTTGCCTCACAAAATAATTTGAATTACCACGAAGTCTTCACTTGAACTAATTAGAAAAGTCTATGTTGAAGTAATGCTTCAACAACAGCCATTCATTTAAGAGTTATGACTAAAATCAATTTTTATGGAGGAAAATAAATGACCTTCTAATTGTCTCCAGGCCATAGATGAGCTGAGAAAAGTGATTATCACTGAATGGATGTTAAAATCAAGTTAGTTTGAAAGCCAAATTTAATGCAAAAAATTATGTAAGAAACAACCATAAGTAGGTTTCTCCATTAAAATTGATTGATTAGAGGTGGGGTGAAGATGGCAGAGTAGTCAGACACTTCTGGTAGACCATCTTACAACAAAGACCCAAAAAAACAAGTGATTCAATTATATATGACAATCTAGGAGCCCCAAACATTAAAGGCAAAGTTGAGGAACTGGGCTGAGTGGCAGGAGGAGGGAGAGACAGTTCAGAAGCAGTGAGGAGGTGCCAGATCTGACCTGGCGAGAGCCTGAGTCCTTCAAGCCTGATGAGTTCTGGCGTGAACGGTGAGGCAGGCAAGCATCGGTGCTAGGGAGGTGTATTCTCATGGGGAGAGACCCAGCCGCTGAGAGTCTTCTCAGCTGTGCAGAACCAGTAAGAAGCAGCCGTTGATCACAGAAGGATAAGTATTTGTGTCCGGCCTACCATGTGGATCAAAAACACCTCTCTCAGGAAAAAACTCTCTCCTATTTACCTCCCCACTCCCTGCTCTGCACTGGGTCCCAGACCGGCTTCAGCAATTGCCTAGTACACTGGGCCGGAAGTCGGATCCATTATATGCACTGAGCCATTTTCCTGGCCTTGGGGAGTGAACAAATTAACAAACAGGAAGAAAAAATAAGCTGCTGACTCCCCTAAGGCAGGAACTCTGGGTAGGCACAGCTCCTTTGCCTAGATACAGGCATAAGGGATCCATGGACTTTGAGTGCCTTTCCCCCTGCATAGACTTGTGTGGGCCCATTTCAACAGTGTAGGCCCTCATTACCGCAGTACAACAGGGTATATACCTAAAGTCTGACTTCAGCTGTTTCAGCTGTGAAGTAGCAGGTTCGTGACATTTGACACTGCTCTGCCCATTAAGCAGGGTCTTCACCTACCCACATCAGGGGCCTGAGGACTGGTAGCTCCACCCATGCCACTTAGCCACCTGCGATAGGGGCCCAAGAATGAGAGGTGCCTCCCCATCCTTAGAGCCAATAGCATTAGGTGTTCATAGTCCAGCTGCAAAACCCACCCACCTAGGTGCTCTAGGGAACAGGGATACACCTTCCTCCTAGACACTCAGGGGCAGCC